AACAGGCAAATTGGAGCATAAAAGATGTGAGTTGGTTATAGTTTTTTCCTTTCTTAAATTACATGACATCCCAAAACATTTGGACTTCAGTAACACTTATACAAAAAAAAAACCAACGTATCTTCCTTTCAAACACACACACTGGTAATGACTCAGGTATTTGTCTTTTCACCAAGAGATGCAAATACTGAATATCAAATAATTTAGAAATGAAAAGAACATGGTAGATCAGTCGTGATTTTGATCTATATCCTTTAGCTGAGAGACTGTCAATGCAACTTATTATTTAAGTATAATTTAGCATCTCCTCCCTCTCCACCCCCTCCATCCAGCCAAATTCTTTTCAACTGCATAAATCAGAGGTGTCATCTGAGAGCACGTTCTGTACTGTTATATATGCTGTAAAAATTAGAGGTAAAATCTATATATTATTTCTTTCATTCACTGCAAATCAGCTGGTTAGAGTCTCTGCTGCGAAGAACTAGAAGAGAACTTGAACAAAAGCCCTGGATCAAAACCTCCTCAGGCTTTGGACTCCAAATCCAACTCTAGATCCAAACTTCATGGCTTGAACTTACCTGTATAAAAGGCTGAAACTAAACCCAAGAAGCAAATCCTTATGATCTTTGGGACAGATCTGGGGCCCTGATTCAGTAGTCCATTCCTATTCAGCAAAGCAATTAAGAGAATCTTTAACTTTAAGCATGTGCTTAAGTCCCATTGACCTCAGAGCGATTTGCTGAATCAGGGTCTTACTGAATAGGGCTGGATTAAAGCATGTGCTTTAAACATTTTGCTGAACTGGGGCCTGGATACAGATCAAGATCAAGATCCAGACTTTGCTGAGAGGATGTATTCCTACTATAAACCCTGGTTATAAACGGTCAATATTTATCAAGAATTTTCTTCTTTTTTTTAAAAAAAAACTGATGTTAGAACAAGAGGTGCAATGACAAGTTAGTTGTGGGTGGGTAATCTATGTTAAATAAAATGTTGACATTTTATATGGAAGTTGATCATTTTTAGTAGAAGCTGATCATACATCCTGAACTGGAATTAGCTGACATTGATCATCCATGGCATCTTCAGCATATGTCCCACCATGTCACTTCATGGAAGTTCTGTAATAATTTTTAAGTAAAAATATTTATATACAGGATCAAGGTGGAAGGGCTCTGGTTCCTCCTCACTAACAGTAGTAGTAGGATCTCAAGCAGCTTCTTTGTATTGGTGATCGATCCTAATGGCCAGCTGAAAAGCTTTTGAACATCATTCAGCAAGGCACTTAAACACATGTTGACCCTTACACTCAGGAGTTCCATTGACTTCAATGACATGTGTAAGTGTCTCGCTGAATTGGGCCATTATTGTAAAATTGCAGGATCAGCACTGGATGCTCAAGCCACTGGTCTTCTGAATGGCCAGTCCTGAAGCATAAGTAGCAAACATCCCAGGTCAGATAGGGGCCAGTCCTGTAGGAAAAATTTTTCCCCAGGTTTAAACATAATTTTCAGAGATGGATTAAACCAAAATTGTTTTCATTTTTCTAATTGTAACCATAAAATACAGTCCTTAGTTAAAGGCCTCATACAAGATTATTTTCCATCACACCAACAGTAGGTGTCAGCCTAGAAACAAATAAATCAATGATTCCTTTTATATCTTCATGTAACCCTTCTTCATGAAGACACACAGGATATAGATCAGAATACACAATAACAAGTATTTTGAAAATAAGGAATATGGGACTACTAGTCTGAACACAGACAATTATTAACATGGTACCTACGTAACATTTTATCTGCTGTCAATCATAAAAATACTGAATGTTAAAAAACAAAAGCAAAATGTTTGTTGCTGGGGGGAGGAGAGTCTAAGATAATGTAAATGACCAAACAAAGGGAGGCTATCAGATTTTTATTAAATAATTCAATGTATTATTTAAGGTTGTAGTTTGGATTTGTATGTAGTGTAAATAAATGAATAAGTAATATTGATTCCTCTCTCTAAAACATTCTACCTGGCTGAAAGTCAGAACAAAAGCAATTTGCACAGAGTTTTGTCTAGAAGTCAGCATAGGTTGTGGGTTACAAGTGGACAGTACAGCACAATAAAAGAACCAATCTCAAAATTGTGTGATTGTTGCTTTTGTAAAGGTGAAACTGTGGAATTCATGTGGACAACATGACCTTGGATGAATGGCTCTCATACAAGGGAACTTGGCTGGTACAGGATGAGGGAAGTAGGGAAGGAAATCTGAAAATGAAGAACACGATCAGTGATGTGCCAGGTGTGTGTGTGGGGCGGGGGGATCTCTTTCTGGAATTTGGGGACCCTGTTGTCAAAATATTGACACCTAAAGTGACGGTGAATGTTGGCATAATCTATGAGGAAATTTTTAAAAAACTGGGTACAGTTAGTCTTAAGAAAAGAAGACTGAGGGCTGGGAGCAAATAGTCTCCAAATATGTTAAGGACTGTTATAACATGGAATTGTTCTCCATGTCCACTGAAGGTAAAACAAGAAGTGATTGGCTTAATCTGCTGCAAGAGAGATTTAGGTTATATATTAGGGGGAAAAAACATTTTAACTATAAGGGTATTTAAGCTCTGGAACAAGCTTCCAAGGAAGGTTGTGGAATCCCCATTATTGGAGGTTTTTAAGAACAGCTTAAATAAACACTTGTCAGGGATATTCTATGTCTTCTTGGTCTGACTCAGCATGAGAAGGACGTACTAGATGACCTCCTAAGATCACTTCCAGCCCTACATAAAAATACTCTGAAGAGTAAAGATTTTGCCTTTGAAATGCCCTAGCGTGTTAGGCATTTGCAAACACATTATCCTAAAGGAGGAACTTTCTCATGCCCAAAATCCCCTCTGCAATGTCTTCACTTCGCACCACCATTCCAAATAACTTAAACTGCACTGTTAATATATTTTGTTCCTGCAAAATATACTGGACTATATCCTCAGCTGAAGAGTACACAGCGCTTCTTGGGGAGGAAAGGGGGAAGAGTGCAAAGGTGACCTGATGTTGGTTCCCAGGTATAAGACATAACCAGCCATACTGGCTCAGACCAATGGTCCCTCTAGTCCAATGTCCTAACTTCTGACATTGGCCGATGCCAAGTGCTTCAGAAGGAATGAACAGAACACGTAATCAGCAAGTGATCCATCCCATCATCCATTCCCGGCTTCTGGCAAACAGAGGCTAGGGACACTTCAGTGCGTAGTTTTGCATCCCTGCCCATCCTGGGTAATAGCCATTGATGAACCTATCCTCCATGAACTTATCTAATTCTTTTTGAACCTGTTAAAGTCTTGGCCTTCACAACATCCTCTGGCAAAGAGTTCCACAGATTGACTGTGTGTTGTGTGAAATACTTCCTTTTGTTTGTTTTAAACCTGCTGCCTATTAATTTCATTTGGTGACCCCTACTTCGTGTTATGAGAAGGAGTAAATAACACTTCCTTATTTACTTTCTCCACACCAGTCATGATTTTATAGATCTCTATCATATCCCCCCTTAGTCATCTCTTTTGCAAGATGAAAAGTCTGTCATATTATTTTCTTGCTATTCCATCCCCCAATCATTTTGTTGCCCTTTTCTATAACTTTTTCATTTCTAACATATCTATTTTTTTTTAGATGGGGCGACCAGATCTGCATGCAATATTCAAGATGTGGGTGTACCATGGATTTATATAGAGGCAATATGATATTTTCTGTCTTATTATCTATCCCTTTCCTAATGATTCCAAACATTCTGTTAGATTTTTTTTGATTGGTGCTGCACATTGAGTGGATGTTTTCAGAGAACTATCCACAATGACTCCAAGATCTCTTTCTTGAGTGGTAACAGCTAATATAGACCATCATTTTATATGTATAGCTGGGATTATGTTTTCCAATGTGCATTACTTTGCATTTATCAACACTGAATTTCATCTGCTGTTTTGTTGCCCAGACACCCAGTTTTGAAAGATCCTTTTGTAGGTCTTCGCAGTCTGCCTGCAACTTAACTATCTTGAGTAGTTTTGCATCATCTGCAAATGTTGCCACTTCACTGTTTACCCCTTTTTTCAGATCATTTATGAATATGTTGGACAGTACTAGTCCCAGTACAGATCCCTGGGAAACACCACTATTTACCTTGCACTGTTCTGAAAACTTACTATTTATTCCTACCCTTTGTTTCCTATCTTTTAGCCAGTTACTGACCAATGAGAGGACCTTTGGTGAGGTATCCTGTCAAAGGCTTTCTGAAAATTTAAATACACTATATCCACTGGATCCCCCTTGTCAACATGCTTATTGACCCCCCTCAAAGAATTCTAGTAGATTGCTAGAACAGTTATAGGGCAGCTATAACTTAACCACACTGACAACAGTCTCAAGAGGCTGTTACAGTCATCAGGGATTGCTTGGCTTTGTTCATATGTCCTACACCAACCACAAGGAAGGGTTGGCATAGGAGCTGTTTCCTCCATAGGTTCTGAAACTAGGGGTGCTAGGGTGCTGACACACACCCTGGCTTGAAGTGGTTTCCAGCATGTACCAGGTTTACAGTTTGGTTCAGCATAAGGCTCTCAGCACCCCCACTATAAAAACTGTTCCAGCACCCCTGGTTACCCCACTCTCCTATTCGCATCACAGGCAATAATAGCTTTAGAGTTGCTTTGCGCTAGTGAAGCCAAACACAGGGGAAAATGTATAAACATCTCCTGCAGGTACATTAATATGTTAGTTTGCCAAATACTTTTGTCTCCTGCCTTCTGTATGGTTACAAGAAAGTGTTTTTCTTTAAATGGGAAAAACAAGGATGGATTTGCCAGTCCTACTCTATTTCTCCCTGCGAGAATATTTACCCCTGATTCATGGCATTTATCACAGAGTGAAGGGGAAATATTAGTAGAAGTCCATTGTTAAACTATTGGCAATATATCACCAAAGATGACCACAGAGAAAAGGAAAAACATACAAAACACAAAAGTGGCCAAGCTCCTAAAACAAAATGTTCTCTTCTGGATACATTATATGTACAGTAGTTGTCTCATCACCCTCATGATAACATTCCCAAAATAATGAGATACATGAAATTATAATAGTACAAGGACACACTGTTATCTTAACATTCTATATAATACATTATTTATAAGACTGCACAAGGCACAAATTATTTTTTGACTTTTGAACACTGGCAAAACAAAATAATTTCATTTCTTAATCATCTATTCCTATCATATTTTGAGTATATTAAATTCAACATCATACTTAGAGATCCTTTATGTTTAGAGATGCCAGGCCTAATTTCCACGTGTGCTATACTTACATTACACCTACTTTTAGGCCTTTTTTATACTGCCAAAATAGTTTCAAGGGATCTTAATGTAAACAAGAATTAAGTCTATTCTTTGTATTAAACAAGCTGATTACTTGTATAGGCACTGACTTAGACAGAAAAGTACACTTTATGGCATAGATTCTCAGCTAATGAATATTGTTGTAGTTCCATTTACTTCAGTGGAGCTATGTAGATTTACATCAGCAGAGGATCTAGCCCTGTATGCCTATATTCTGGAGATTTATAGTTGAGAAGCCTTTTAACAAATGTAATAATTCAGAGAACTGTATTGTGGACATTTGGGCAAATAATGAGTGGCCTCCACAGGTGAAAATACCTTTGATCAATAGATGGAATGGACGTATGGCAACCAAATGTGCCAACAAAAATTTCAAGCCAAATTCTGCCTTCCTTTACAACGGTGGAAATCTGGATCAACTCCTTCATGGTGTTGGAGAAAGTCCAGAAATACATCATTGTATCTGACGGAAGAATACAGCTCTACATTATTAATGTAGACTAGCAAAGTAATTACTATAAAAATTTCAGAAAGCCAGGACCACCATATAGTTTTACTAGTGGACTTGATTTTCAAAGTATTCTTTGAAGGTGAAATTGTACCCTGTGCAGAGGGCTGGCTATTAAACACTATTTAGGTCCTCAAAAAAGGGTGTAAGTAGGATTTAAATGGTGTGTATGTCTTGAGTTAGAGGCGAACTTCACACTAACAGTCCAATTCCCTCATATATTAGCAAATGAAAATGTTAAATTTTGGTTTTTAAATGAAAAAATTGTTTACATTTTTAAATTTAGCTGTAAAATGTTAGGATTAAATTCAAAGACAGGATTAAGAGCTAAATTCTGCTAAAAGTTACACTGGTGAAACTCCATTGCACTCAGTGGAATTACTCTGGATTTTCAGTAGTATAAATAAGAACAGAAATTGGCCCTTAATTCTTTCTTTGATCCTAATTGATTAAAAAACACCATTTAATTTAATTTAATCTAAGGGTTTGTCAGGGAGTCATTCTTGTCTGGTTATTCCAGCAAATAGGCTTTTATTTAATACTGCTCTAAAACTGGATTAAAAAAAATAAAGCTCTTCAATTCAGAATGATCTAATTTTATGCCAGACTAGATGTCTTCTTTAGTGATAGTCTCATTCAGACCACTATTGTTTCCAATGGATTTGTATCTATTCACACTGCTGAAAAAATATTCATTTTTGATAAATACAATAGATAAATCTTAGTGCAGACGTGCATAACTTTGCAACAAAAGACAGCTGATGAAAACCCTAAATAGAAGCAGGTCCAACAATGTCTTATAGTGTGATTCAAATATAACTGCTGTGAATATTAAAGCAGCAATAGGGAAAAATGCACAGCATATGATTTCAAAGTGACAAAAGAGTTCCTTAAAAAAAGAAAAACCATTACCCATTTTGTTACAAGTTTGTGCTTTTCCTTGGGCCCATATCACCTGTGACCATACTGCCAACATTTTGGGTTAGATGGGGGGGTTATATTTTTTCATCATAATCATTATTTATTTTTTTAAATGCTACTGGGCTTGCTTGCTTCAAAGAGGTCTTCGAAATATCTGTATGCATGGTGGACATGGCTATAGTCTCATAATCATCATCCCTGGAGCGAAAATCACAAAAATGAAAGAAAAATTGCAAGTCCCTCTGGAAGTTCTTGTTGAGAAATCCATAAAAGATAGGGTTCACACAAGTAGAGATCATGGCTGTGAGGTGGCAAATCAAGAACAACAAATTGTGGCTGCAGGTGGCAACAGGTAGAATTTCATGATTCCAGTCAAACACAATATTAAAGATGGTAAGAGGTAGCCAGCAGACTGCAAATGCAACCACAATAGAGATCAGCATGATGTTGATCCTTTTGGTTTCAGTGGATCTGTATTTATTGTCTCGCATCTTGTCCATCATGTTGTTCCTTCGTTTTAAGCGTATGTATATCTGCAAAAAACAAAATTCAACAACAAAGAAAAATATAGAATCATTTAGCCCAGAGGCAATTCTTTATAAGGACAAACAGAAATCAGACAGAAATAAGGAGAGATCATAAAATAGATTCTCTCTTACCTTTAAGTAGCAAATAAATATAAAACAAAGTGGTCCAAAGTACTGTATCACCAACAGAGCTGTGGTATAAGAAAGCCTGATAGTGTCCAAAGGGAACAAGTCCAAGCACACATATTTGTCCTTATATTCATCGATTGTTATATTTTTGAAGGGTTCATCAGTTAATACATGATAAACCAGGAAAGGCAAGGAGGAAGCCATGGCTAGAATCCAGATGGCAGCAACCCCTAGGTAGGCATGTCTGTTATTCGGCCTCCACCCTCGAGGGTTGATGATCAGCTGGTGGCGTTCAATTGCGATGAGGACCAAAGAGAAAACGGAGACTGTGATTGAGACACACTGCACAAAAGGATTCAGCTTGCACATGGCCTCCCCGAAAATCCAGTGGTCCATTAAAGTGTATACAAAAGTGAAGGGGAGACACATGATGGTCATTAGAAGGTCTGAGAAGGAAAGGTTGACAATAAGGATATTAGTAACATTGCGCATCTCCTTCTGTTTTAAGATGATGATAATCAAGGCTAGATTTCCAGAAACACCAAGAATGATCACAGCCCCATAAACCAGAGCCAAGGTGAAGACCATGGCCAATGGCATGTGGCAATCTTCATCTTGGAAGTGTATGGTTCTGGAATTCTTCTCTGAAAAGTTCAGGTGGATGGACTGATTCCCAGCAGAGGAGAGAAATGATGTGTTCATGTTGTTGGAACTTGCGTCCATGCCCTGCATTGGTCTCGACTGCACTGAGTTTCTTCCGAATGGTTTCAGAAGCTCAAAATGTTCTCATCACTCAAGCAGCAGGATCTCACTAAAAGCTGTCACTTCATTTCTTTGATAACCTTGATAACAATCTGCAAAGGGAAAAGAGCACATGTGTTTATTTCTTATCATTTTAATTGTGCCATAATTGTATGGTGCTAAGGATGCAGATATGACAATGGAGAGAGATTGGCCCTTCTTTCTGCAGTATAGAGTGTATGAGTTGCTTCTGTGATTCCTTGTTCATAACCCTCAAAACAGACCAAGTGGTCTCAGACACTAAGCAAGATCCCCACAGCAGAAGAGGTTTTACAGACTACCCTACATCAAACACCCGCCATGAGGATCCCATCGAAGCAATGGCAATGGAATATTCTCTACCATTTCAAATGCATCTACCCAACTGACTTAGAAATATAGCCAGCAGTGCCACTCACTCTGGAGCAGAAAGCACCAAGGAATATGAGAAGACTTGCCCATAAGCAGAACGGACGACACGAGAAGAATTTTCATCAGCACCACGGACAGACCAAAAAGCAAGGCGAGATTCAGCACGCAGAAGAACAGGACGATGAGTATATAATCCCTAGCAGAGCTGTCCTGCCGCGAATAGACGCCAACGGGGAAGTCACTTCCCAGCGCCCTGCACCCCGAACCTTAAATTCTCAGTCAAGGATATAGGCTGATTTCTCTCTTATATGAGTTGACAGAATGAATCTGGAAGAGTTTCCCAGCTGGTGGGCTGCACCCAACGCTAGGAAGCAGACGAGTCCTTTAGACATACGCATGAGAATTCATTAGAAGGAGGGCGCTTGATCACGGGGGAAGGACAGGTATCGTCTTAATTTATGCTAAATATAACCGAAAGTATAACAGGGACTATCGTTTCAGAGGCAGAACAGAGGCAGACGTATTGTCCTTCTAGTTTCATGTCACGCGTTTGCCAGCCAGGATGAAATCTGTCGAAAGGGGGATTGGAACAATGTGGGTGGGCAACGCATATCAGGAGTTTCACAATCTTTCCCTTGAATGTAATTGCCTCTCCAGACGTGGTGACATGAGTTCTTTCTTTGAGTGTGCCACCGTGAGATTGCTTTGTGCGGAGCTGAAGAACTGTATAGATTAGAATGAGCGAATGCTGCTGACAAACTAGAAAGTGAGGACGTAGGTACAGTGTCAGGGTGGTAATGGAGGCAAGGCGGAATTTCTGTTTGTATGAGCGACGCTGGCTATAAAACAAGGCTAGACGGAGAAGACGACAATTTTAATGGATTCTATGTCTTCTCCATTCTGGGACTTCAAAAGAGAAAAAGGAATCACTCCCAAACCTACAGCCCTCAACGATCCCCATCTCTCACCTTTCCCAAGCATCAATAATTTTCATTCGAATTATTCCCCCAAAGCTTTTTTAAAATAGAATGTTTGTAGTGAAACGGTTTCCATGGTTAACTACCTTCGCCATATGACTGGGGTTTGGGAGGAGAATTATTCACTGCTAAATAGCGGTGCAAGCACTTCTGCGAAATCCCTGGCCCCTTACCTTCTGTACTCTGCCATTACTGAGATCTTAATCCTACACTTCATCACATGCAAAAGGAAGCTGTATCACTAAAACTGAGAGAGGAAGAAAGGGGGTTAATGGATCCCAATCTATGCTAGGAGAGTACATGTGCGCACAATTTTAATAATCGCTCTCCAGATTCTGGAAGTCCGCGAATCCTAGAATGCAAATAGAGACTGGAAGGCGAATTATCAAAATTAGGGGCTAGATCCCGCGCCCCTTACTCAGAGAAAACTCTTTATTGAAGGCGATGAGAAGTTTTGCCTCAGTAGAAAGTGCAGGATACAGTAGAAAGAAAGAAAGAAAGAAAGAAAGAAAGAAAGAAAGAAAGAAAAGCTCCATTATGTTACAAAATATTTACAAGTGAGAGAGAGAACAGTTGCCGACAGTTCAATAGCTAAACAAATTACATTTAACACTAATGTGTTAACAATAAAACATTAATAATGGTTGAAAAAGTGAGCTCAATTTACGACCGATTGAACCTTTAACCATTACATTCTTTTTAAGTTTTTTTCTGACCTGTTATGTTCTGTTTTCTCAAATTGTCATGTGTTTAATGCATCTCTTATTTTAAAGCTATTCAGCTATACAATAACAAAGGACAAGCTCAATCTGACATGAGTAAACAGTGATGAAAAAGTTACTGCAAAACATAAGTTCCTTACCTAATTGATTTTCTACTGTTGACGGGCTGGTCACTAAAGTGCAGCTGACATTGGGTCAAAGGCAAATCAGCAACTCCGATCACTTTAATCTCAGACAGAATTGCTGTCTAGCAGAGAAGAACAAAGGGCGGGGGAAGGAAAGAAAATTAAAAAGCAAAAATTAAAGAGTTTGCAAAATAAAAGAGAGAGGGGAAGCGATCGATATTTACCTATGCAACACAAATAGAAATGCTTAAATAAGCCCCTCCTTCGCAAAAGCTGCAGGCTATTACATCACAGAAACTCAGGCATGTATGGGGGGGGATTGGGGGTGTTGAAAGAAGTCAACAATAAACGGACACACCTCTGCTACAATCTGCAGTTAGCAACAGTCTGGTTGAATCTGGAATTTTCCCTTTGCCAAATCTCAGACACGCTATTTACAATGTTGTATGCTTAACCTCAGGTCAGAGCTGTAGGAGGGAGTATTGCCAGTTTACGCCATGTTAATGGTTCCTGAATCACAGCTCCATAATGTCGTTGTCACAAATGTGATCTTCAATGACTACGAAAGCCGCCGGAGCATATATTGCTGAAATCCACTTTATTTTAAGATACCTCCAGGGAGTGAAGTTACCTTAAATGACAGTCGGTATAAACTGCAAACACAAACACAGAGGTAAGTCTTCAGAGAAGAGATGTTTTCCTCCTATCAGGAAACTGGCCTTACTTCTATTTGATATATGCTAGGGTTCAGAGCCCGTACTCTCACTCAGACAGACCTGAACACGTTGCTAGAGTGAGGACTGCACGATCGGGCCCTAGATATTCAACAGGAAGATTACAAAAGTAAACGAGCTCACGCATAAATTAAATCGCACACTCAGCTCAGCTGGTTTTGCATTCCATTTCTGCAACGGATTCTTTACAACCATTATTAGCAATACATGCACATTTAAAATCGCTAATTAATATAGCCAGGCTTTGGCGATTTTCATCCACTGGCCAAAGTTTGACTACTCTGATTGTTCCAGCTAGCTTAATAGCAGACATCCATCCACCTCAGTGTTATCGCTTATAATATCTTTACCACATAGCTTCATCCAGTCTGTCTAATCCCCCCGGTCTATTTTAGGAGTTTATATGCAGCCTGTCATCATGGTATGTAAGGCCCCTAGCCAAACTGCGTGTGTTGTATTTTGTATTTTAACAGACAACTGTCTGTGTTGAAAGACAGTAGCGCTCCCAAGAACCAGAAGCTGTATGTAGAAGTATTTAGTGCCTGCAATGAGGACTTCATGAATTATCTACTCCTGACAGTATGACTTTGCCGTGACCTGCTGAAAGACAAACCAGGACTGGTTTTGCTGTAAACATTAACTACATTTTCATTTCAGCAGCAGAGGTCATACAACTCCAAGCACGTTGGGACTTCAGTAGGTTTCCGCAGGTCGAAGTACAGGAAGGGGGAATGTGTTCTGTCCTCCCCGTTCTCCAATCAAGAGAGGGACTGGACTCAGACCCCGCCGCAGGACCTTGTTCGGGGTCACGCCTGAGTCTCGCTGATTTTGCCAAGCTCCTTCTTAAACTACTTCTTGTTTAGTAGACGGCTCTAAAGGGAAAATGCTTATGCTCCTTATTCTCGACAGAGAAGCCACCGGAGCCACCAGCCCCCAAATCGCCCCCCTATGATCGGATTAAAGGAAGCTGTGTTTGGTGTGCGATTGTGACTCCCTATCTCTCCAGCAGGGATAGACTGGGAGGGGTAGCGTAGATGAAGTTGACAGCGACCGCGCTTGTCTTTCGTTGACAGCTCATCAGCCGGAGAAGACGCCGGTTTTCCCTCTCTGTGCTCAGGTTCCCCCCCCCCTCCTTTTTTTTTTAAGGCTCACCAGAGAGGCTAACCTGTGCTTCTAGGGGCGGGGAAGGAGAAATTAAAGGCAGGCAGAAAAAGCACACAGCCCGGCAACCCAACCCTCCCCCTTGTCGGGATCACACAGACCTCTCCTGCTCTCTCCAAAGATTTGATCTGAAGTTTGATGCTAAGGGATAAAAGGCTACGAGAATAAAAGGCAAGGTGACGGGAAATACCCTGTAAAAAACTATTCCAGCCGCTCACCGGGAAGCACATACGGTTAGCCTGAACCGACAGGTAGCATACCCAAGAGAGACTCCGGACGGTCAGGAATACACCTCTCTCAGCTACACCTGTTCTGTCACCCTGATGAGCCACACAAACATCCGCCTAAAAAGCACGCTCGCACACCACAATTAAAAATAAAATAAAAAACGAGGAAACCACAAAAGGAACCCACCTTGTAATTGATCGTATTTCCCCCTGTTCCTTGATTTGGTGAGGGTTTGAGCGGAAGGGTGGATCGAGAACAAGGAGCCAGGCAATGGGGAAAACATCCACTGGTATTTCTCCAGCTCTGATCCTAAAGATTTGTGAGGCGAGCTGGAGACACCCCCTTAAAGCTGAACTCCACCTTATCCCAGTATCACATGATGGTGTTCTATTGAGCAGATTCTGAAGATACCAGTGCAAGCACATCACCTTTAAATTATACATCTGGGGGTGGGTTGCCTAGTAATTCTGAAATAAATGCAATTAAGTATTGAAACAAAAGGGGAGGGGGGTTGCACTGAGAAGAACTTGGGAGGGGAAGCAGTTTGAAATTGCTTTTACGGATTGAATATTGCAACATTTTGTTTGCAAGCCAGTGCCACCTTGTGGCCAAAGTTAAAATGATATTATATAAGAGCTGACTGGAGATGAGGCTGGTAACATGAATTGTGTCTCAGATGTGTCAGTTATAAAGTGTTCTGTTGTTGGTTTAAAGCAGCACAACTGGTCTCCACTTTGTTTTCTCTTGAAAAGTGATTGAACTGATAAGGAGTCCCAAATGTAAAAACGCCCAGTTTCTTTACATTTCGAAATACTAAGAAAGCTAAATGTTTTCTTTAAAGTAGAAACAAGTCAACTAACCAACCACCAAACCTCAAGGAACTATAACTAGTACTCCTTAGATTCAGAGAATGTATGATTTTCTGCAGGTACATTTCACAGCTGTATGTAGTCCTGCTTTGCCCTAGCTCAGCATTTCTCAGATTTTGGTCTGTTGGATGTTCCTGAATGCTGGAACATCGTGAGATCTCATCAGTGGAATGGTTGGGGGATTAGGAAGAGAAATAGGCCATGAAAGGGTAGAATTATCCTCATAATATGATAAGTAGAAGGAAAAGTTGGAGAACCATTGCCCTAGGCAGCTCCTGCATGTATTGTAAAAACTCCAAGTTTGACCAGATATTTGAATACAGGATGCACCTGGCTAGTTCTGCTCACCTTTCCCACTTCTCACTCCATGAACTCAACAACAAAGCACTGCTGCTTAAGGGTTGTAGTAGTAGCGTTCAAGTCTCAGAGCCTGGAAGGTTTTAGGACCAGTGGAGAGTCTCAGAAAAGTCATACAATTAAACTTGTATTTAATTTTAAAAAATCACCACAACTACCATGTAACTTGCAAACACTGGTGAGTTTCACTTAAGTCTGGAATGACTAGAAAGCTGAGATCCTGGGTTTTCCAGTGACTTAAATTCATTTTCAAAACGTAAGTCATTGCTGACGTAGCTGTATTAGGATGGCACTCTGTAATTTTTGTGTGACTTGCCTTGTCAAAAAATGTCGGGTGATGATTATTATTATGCTATCACCATTACAGTAGTAATTTCATTACATTAATTAATACAATATTACCAGTAAATGGGAGGCCTGGCTTAGTGTAAGAAGAAATCAGGAACTGGTACTGAGGCTTGTGGCTAAGCTGCACCTACAGCTATAACTGCCAGGAGCCCCCATGTCTCTCAACTGAGCAGAGTAGGGCTGGCCAGTACTCAGTCAGGGAAGCCCAGCTGTTAAAGGGGACATGAGTGCTGGCATTCCCTAGATAGTGCTTTTCTTTCTGAGACAATGGCCCCTTCAGGATCTGTAAACTGAGGGTCTGACCACTGGTCATTGAAGTGCCTGTGACACTATTCATAAGTAGGGTCAGTGCCAATTTTACAGATTTTTTTAAAAGGAGTGAGAGAGTTGCCAGTCTAAAATGGAAGGGACCAGTTTCTTCTATCTTCCCCCTGTTCCTCCTGCACTAGAAGGCTCCCACTGCTTAACTGCTTCTCTGCGAGGCTCATGCCCATCCTCCCTCACCTTACGGTTATTTTAAAAAATAAATGTAAGCTTTAGTGTCTCATGCACAACCCCAGCACTTTGATTACCAACAGATGCCAGAGGCAAGGGGTGAGCCTATTTACACATTCCTAGTTCTGAGTAGTGGTGTTAGAGAAATTACATTTGTCTTATCTAAAAAAAATACCAGCAGTTTCAATTGTATGAGACTCTTTGCTTCTTGTTTTCCAATCTTATACTGTATAGTGTTACTGTCAGCTGCAATGTTTCACCTCCGAGGTAGCTGCACTTCTGTAGTATAGGAAGTAATCCGTAATACTTTGTTTCTATTGAACCTTCCATCCAAGGCTCTCAGTGCACTTTATAAACATGGATGAACCAATCCTCACACCATCCCTTTTGTAGTTGGTGGCTATTAGTATCTTCATTTTACACATGAGAAAACTGAAGCCAATAGAGATTAAAGATTGGCTCCTGCAATGACTGAGTGCTGTGAACTCACAATGAAGTCAATGCAATGGCAGTTCCTGATGCTCAGCACCATGCAAGGGGGTGCAAGTTTACAAGGCCCTTGAAGGATTGTCCACTATCACACAGCAAGTCTACAACAGAGTTGGCAACAGAACTCGGAATCTTTGAGTCACAGTCCTGAGTTTTAACTACAAGGCCATCCTTCATCCCATTCCCATATCTACCATACAGTGGAGTGTCCAGGTTTAGTTAAATAAGATTTGTGCAGTACTTTGGAAGTCCCAAAATATAATTTGTTGGAGTACAGTCCCAAAGGCTTATAGTACCAAAACTGGTGTTACTG